ATGAATACCATCGAAATACGATTTCTGGTCTACCTGAAAGGAAGTCGTCACATTTTTAAATTATATATTTTCGGTTCAATGATATCATGATTTCTCTTTGTTTTTAACAATATCCGACGTTTTTCAGTGGTTATCCAGAATATATAACTTACTATATCCCATTTTTTTTATAGAACTTATTAAAAAAATAGTGTTACGGAAGATCATAGAAAAATATAAATCTTTCTCGAGACCGAGACCGAGACCCCTTTGTTTGATAACTCTGTATATAATTTTCATGAGACACCCTGCAATTAAGTAATCTCTCTTTTATATAATTTTGTATCATATAGGACAATAATAATTATTTTTTATGTTACATTTAGAATATCTTTGCTATCTTTATACTTGATTTTTTTTATATATATATTGATTATAGAATTTACCACATTTATTCTAAAAAAAAGTATGTGTCGCACCAGTTTTGCGAAATTGCTTGCTTTGTGTTTGTTTTTTTTGTCCGGATTCGCTTCCCTATTTAATTGTTTGCGTCACAAAGTGGAGTTTTGTAAAACTGGCGCAGTTATTTCTCATCCTTTTTATGATATTTAAGATTATATAAATTAATGTAAAAATTTTGTATGTTATATGTACTTAAAATATTTAGAATAAGTTGGATAAATTAATTATAAATTGTTTTATAAATAAAGAAATTAAATAAACTTTGGTTTTATTATTTTTTTTTGTAAAACTTCATGAAATAAATGTGAGTGGAACAAAACTGTAAAGCTCCTATATGTAATATTTTATAGAAATTTTGACTTGACTTATGTGTTACTTGAGCAGCAGATCTGTTTTGAGGTGGATGTGAGAGGGGGCAAGCAAATTTTTTCTGGAATACCTTCAGTACAACTCGCATAATAAAAGTGTAGATCCCTAGATCTGGGCGAGGTCCGGAACTTTTTCAAAATTGCAAAAATGTTTAAAAATTTTTTAAAAATACCTATTTTATCTGAGTTTTTTACTTATATCTTGGAACCTATGTATTTTGAAAGAATATTGAAGAGGAAAAAAAGTTTTTGAATTGAATTTTGCACAACATACTGCAAGTTAAAAATGTTTAAGTTTATTGCCGTTGTTGCAAAATACCAATAATTGATGAAAAAGGCAAAAAAATCGAGTGGATAATTTTTTAAAATGTTTTAATTGCTTCAAGGGCATTCTAATTTTTGTAAACAAAAACTTTATAGTATAATAAAACAACCCACCAAATTTCATTCAAATCATTTCGATAGTTTTTTGAAAAAAATTTTGAAAAAATTTTTGAATTTTCAAAATTTTGCACAGCTCAAATAAAGCGTCTAGATACTTGAAAATTTTTTCACATAGAAAGACCGCTCAACTTTTCAAATGGTTTTTGAAAAATTGAAATCGGTTGAATAGGACGGCCACAGTAAATTTTTAAAGTTAACACCCTTTTTTTTATTTTTAAACAATTAGATTACGTTTATCAATTTACAATTTAGTTTTTTTCAAAAATTATAATTTTAGTCCCTCCTTTTTTTAAAAAAAGTTAAATTCCATTTATTCGTTCTGGAGATATAAGCGGTCAAAGTTTATCGGCATTTACCATTAATTTATAAACAATTTAGCAATAATCTTTGATCCAGTGGCTTCATTTTTCCGAGTTTAGGCTGGAAAATATTTTCATGTTCATAAGTTATCGGCAACATATATAAATCAGTGAAAAAGCTGTCACTCGCATACGCGAAAAGTGACTCAAAACACAAAAAGTGGGGGAGGGGGGCTTTCCTAATACTTTAAAATTATAATTTAAAACAAACTAAATTGCAAATTGATAAATGTAATCTAATTGTTTAAAAATAAAAAAAAGAGTGTTAACTTTAAAAATGTAATCTAATTGTTTAAAAATTGTTTAAAAATAAAAAAAAGTGTTAACTTTAAAAATTTACTGTGGCTGTCCTAATCAACGGATTTCAATTTTTCAAAAACCATTTGAAGGGTTGAGCGGTCTTTTCTACATTTTCAAGTATCTAAATGCTTTATTTGAGGCTGTACAAAATTTTGAAAATTCAAAAATTTTTTTAAAAAAATTATTTTGTGAAAACTATTGAACTGCTTTTAATGAAATTTGGTATGTACCATAAAGTTTTTTTTACCAAAATTAGAATTCCCTCGGAGCAATTAAAACATTTTAAAAAATTATCCAAAACACTTGATTTTTTTGCCCCTTTTTCATCAATTATTGCTATTTTGCAACAACGGCAATAAATGTAAACATTTTTAACTTACAGTATATTGTGCAAAATTCAATTCTAAAACTTTTTTTGTCTTAAATATTTTTCCAAAATGCATAGATTCCAAGAAATAAATAAAAAACTCAGATAAAATAGGTATTTTTTTAAAGTATTTAAACATTTTTGCAATTTTGAAAATGTTCTGGACCTCGTCCAGTTCTACGGATCTACACTTTTATTATATGAGTTGCACTGAAGGTATTTCAGCAAAAATTAACCCCCTCTTACATCTCAGAAGTGGGATATTTCGACAGATCCTGGTCTACTGTACAATAATTAAAAAAAAAAAGGAAGAAATTGAATAAAAGTAAATAAGACAACAATGTTTTTGCAAAAAATGGATATATAACTACTGGGTGGTCAGGTGAGATACCTACCAAATTTAAGTAAATTATAATTTGGCTATATGTGATATACAGGGTGTCTCAGAGTGACGGCCCATTAGAATTATTTCAGACTACTTTGATTTGAATTTTGAAAATTTGGGATACCGAGTTTTCGGGCATGCCCTTCAACTCGCCATCAACTTGCTTATTTTAAATGGAACACCCTATATATTATTGCAATTTTGGATTCTACGTGTTATTTTAGGCGGACTTTTATGAAGTTTCCCTATTCCTAAAATTAACCATTTTCGAGATATTTAATTTTTTTTTTAAATGGAAACAGTGACTAGCTTCAAACCATGTGTATTTTATATTAAGAAAGGTAAAGTAACAATATTTATAGAGGCGATAACTAGACCCCTAAACTTCCCATCCATACTTTAAAAGTGGCTTAATTGCATACAGGGCGTTAGAAATTTAATGCCGAGTTTAGTTAACTTCAAACCTTCATAAGTCAGATTTTTTAAATGGAACACCCTGTATGTTTTTCTATATTCTGATATACAATTTTATTCTCTTTCGAACAGCATCAGGGTTCCCTATACCTATCTCTTCCAGTTTTTAAGTTATCTACTATTTTTTGTGTAATCACCTAAAATCATGTAATTTCTTGCGAGGATAGCTGTGGAATTTTTAGCAACACTTCAAAACAAACAACTAAACTGTCAATTTGTTGCTAGTCTCTTGCAGTGACAGTTTAATTTAGCGTTTATAAGAAATGGAAAACAACAATACATATTCAAATGCTGATATTTCAAATTTATTTTTCATTCACGGACATTGCAATGGGATTATAAGCAGAACATGTACAGTTTTTAATGAGACATAACATAACCAAATGTGCCACCAATGAGCAGAAAAAAGTTAAGAAGAATTTTAGCAAATCAACTAGAGTATGGTCAAATTTGTGCAGAAAGAATTTTACCAAAACCAATAACCTCAAATGAAGATAATGTAATAAATGTGCTAGCCTATTTTAATGTTCATCCAGAATCCTCAACTCGTGCCGCAGAGTATGATTTAGGCATTTCACGACTGTCAATTCACAGGATGCTAAGAACTAATGATATGCATCCATACAAATTTAAGCTACATTCTGCTTTCATCCGGGTGAGTTTTTGGCGCTTGCATTGCGAGGAATTGACCCATCTAAGCATAGACAATATAGAGGACAAAGGGCAGTATATCCACATCATGATTACAAATACTAAAATGAACAAACCAAGAAGCTTCACTTAAATGTAGGATTTTGTATTAATCCAATTCAATTAATTAGAAAATATTCTAAGTTAAGGCCTCAAAATGTGCAGCATAAAAGGTTCTGTTGCAGTTTTCAAAAGGGAAAATGCACACTCAATGTATTGGTATTAATAAGCTATCAAAAATCCCTAATGTTGTTCCGCGATTTTTGAGCTTGATAGATTGTAATTTATATACAGGGCATGGCTTGCGTCGCGCATCTGCAACTCTATTGGCCAATGCTGAAGGGGATATTACAACACTCAAATGCTACGGTGGCAGAAGGTTATATAGAAGTCAATTTACAGCAAAATTGATATTGCTAAAAAGATAGCACAAGCAAAGGGGCAACCTGTTCTATAAATTTACCACAATCACAAAATAATTCCAATAATCCTTTGGCATCAAATTACGGCTTTACCATAAATGTTAATGTTAATATTAATAAGTAGGTACATTGTAAGTCTGTAGCAATTTATGTTATTTGTTGACTTATTACTGTTTCAAATTGGTTTTCTAATAAAAACTAGAAAAATAAACCAAACTTGCCTTTATATGATTTCTATAAGTCACTAGTGGGTTAAGTCGACCTTCTGTGTTCATTCTTTCAGGAATTTCTTTTCCGTGCTACAGAAACTGCTTGTTATGGGGATAATCAATTCCAAAATCCACACATCCGTTTTACCATTTTAATTACTGAACTGCAAAACGTGTGTAACTGAGGAGCACAATTTCTTATGGTTTCGTGTCCAAAAATATAGGTCAGGATCCTTTTCCTTTGGTTTTGGGTACTTTCATGTTTCAAGGATTTTTGAAAATATTCTTGGACTACAGCTCATGAAAAGTCACCGGAAGTTTATGTCGATGAAAGATTAACACCAGTGTGATTGCAACAAAAATCAGCATAGCTAGCAGCGTTAGTGTAAAATTATTTTAACCTGAAAAGATCTTCGAAAATAATTTAAGCATTTAGTGATATTACTTACAATCAACTGAAAATTTCCGAGTGTTTTCAAAATTTCCAAAATCTATGTACAGATTTTTCTAAAATTTTATAATCAATTATTTTTTGTTTCAGGTGGTAGCGATCATCGCAATTTTGGAGAGTCGTAAGTTTCTTTTTAATTAAATTTATTGTATAACTAGATATTTATCGAGGCAATATAATTTTTAGAAAAAGTACAAGGTTTTTATATTATTGATTAAAAAAATTAAGTTACAGTGCATATAATAGGAAATAAAATCATAAATATAAAACAATATTTGTAATTTTTTGATCACCCGCTTGAAGTATACATACTACCAATAATAAAACAGTTTTATAATCATTTTGCGATACAAGATCTTCAAAATTTAAAAATTTACACACTACATTATCAGTTTGAGGGCAGTTTTGGCCCGTTCGAGGAGATTGAGAGGATTGATCATCATATTCATGATAAGCATTCTTAAAAGGGGGGGGGGAGGTAATGGCAGGAACATAGCCGTTGTTTTTAGGGCAAGAACAAATAGTAAATGCAGTTTAGTGTACAGTTTTTCACTAACGTTGGCTACAATTATTATTGTAATTGTCGGAAAGAAAATAAAAAAATATATTTTTTTATTTTATAAAACCTCTAGATTTTTTTTCGATTTCAACAAACTTTTATATCATTTTTCAGTAGCGACACTGAAAGCGCCGACGTTCGACCCAGGGAAACGAAGAAAGCCGTTCAGCCAATAAAATTCACCTCTTTCTTCAAGAAGAACAAAGACAAAGTGTCTTCCGAAGACGAGCCAGAGGTGAGACAGATGGAAACAGAGGAAAACAAGCAAGCACCGGAGGAAATCAACACCACCCTGCGGACTGAAGCGGAACCGAAAGAGGGGCTGGTTTACGCCGAGTTGGACCTGGTAAGGGCCGACATGAAACCGGTCGTTAAAAAAGACGATGAGAAAACCGAATATGCTGAAATCTTGTACACCCCCGCCACTGGAAAGGAGGAAGAACCAGAACCGCAGACGAAGTAAGGGAATTCCATTTTTGTTGATCACTAAATTTTCTCGATGTTCTCCTAAGGGTGAAGGGAAATGTTGGATTAGGTAGCAAAAAGGTTTGTTTTAATAATAATTTAAAGTAAAAAGTTAATCTTAAAAGTTTTAAGAAGTCAAAAATATTTAAAAAATCCAAAGTTAATTAATCGTTTTATAAATTTATGATTTTTTATTGTTAATACTCTAGAAAATATATTTGCTATACAACTCCGTTTAATAACACCAATTTTTTTTTATAATAATGTTACCTGTAGTGACTTTTTTATTTGTTAATAAACAATTTTGTATTATTTTCCACATTTCAATCACTTGTGGAGGACCAAAATATTTTAGGTTTTATTCTAAGTTTTTTTATTATTTTTATATGATTGCTTTAGATTTTTATATTTTTTTATCGCGCAGAAGTGCCGCGAAATGTACTTAATATTTATGTTATGTTGTTGTTAATTTCTACTTTTTTTTATTGTAAAATATGTGATGTGTGGCCATATGATGATTATTTTGTTATCTATAAATAATGCAGGAGACAGTTCCGATAGAGACAGACTTAAAATTTTGCAACGTATACAATATATACAAGTTGAGAATAAATAAGCTTTTGATAAACACAAGTGCCTCTTTAAAAAATATTATACTCGTATCTACTTTGCATAAATGCGGTGTGGTTTGAGTTTCATACACTTTTCTTTCAGTTAAAAATAAACATTTATTGTATTAGCACGGTATTTGCACAAAATTACGATAGCATTAGGTGGTTTTGGAAAATTTTTGTACACTAGCAAAATGTAAGCATATAAAGGTGTCTTGAAATTGCGATGGATTATATTGATTCAAATTTTGAGCATCTGACAAGTTGACACAGCACCAAGAGTGCTAAAATGGAACTGATAATTAATCCGTCCTTAAAATTGTAAAATTGGACAAAACACTCAAAATTTAATAAAAGCTGCTTGTTACACAGCCACACAAAAAAAAGTTAGGTTTACTTTTTATGCGACATATATTTTTCGTAGTAATTTGGCCTACTGAACACGAATCTGGGGTCAGAATTGGCTCATCATGTCACAATTTTTTCCTAACCTCAAAAAACATGTGAAAAATAGTGAAAATTGATGAAAATTTACTGGGAAAATTCAAACACACTACACATCACTACATGTGTAGAGTCCTTAAGTCATTTTTTTAAGCGAAGTCACATTTTTAGACGGAATGGAATCTTTTACCTTGACTTATGAAAATCTGGCTCCAGATGTGTGATTAATGAAGGTGAGATCAACCAGCAATCCTTATGATACCAAATTTTACTGAAATCGGTGGATTTCTAAAAAGTACCCTCGCCATATTGGATCAGCCATCTTGAATTTTTACAATGTGAATTCATATTCGTAATCAGCGACCCAAAAAACCCCTTTATACAAAATCTGGTCAAAATCCGCTGAGAATTTGAAAATAGCGATTCCTGTTCGGTTTTTGAGGTTAAAAAAAAACCACACGTTCTAGCTCAATTCTGACAGTGGATTTGAATTCAGCAGAGTTTTTTACATAAAAATGTACTATTTCATGTGGAAATAAAATTTTTTCCAAATTTTCCCAGTAAATTTTCATCAATTTTCACTATTTTTCACAAGTTTTTTGAGGTTAGAAAAAAAATTGTGACGTGATGGGCCAATTCTGACCCCAGATTCGTTTTCAGGAGGCCAAATTACTACGAAAAATATATGTCGCATAAAAAGTATACCCAACTTTTTTTTTTGTGTGGCTGTGTTATCATTGTTCAGTTTTGTAGTTAAATTTTCTGGTAGCAGATCTTTTTGATAACGAGTTGAAGAGATATATAAAACATTTTCATGTTAAACAATGTTTATTTATACGTTCTGTACGTAGGGCACTATACATACATACAGGGTGGGCTAATAGTGTGAGAAATTAAAATAACTCCCTTGTTACTCATAGTACAGGAAAAAAGTTTATATAAAAGTTGTACTGAATCAAAAAACCTAAAGGACAAAATTAATTTGAAGCACACAGGGCGATGAGTAAAAACGGGACACGCCAAATATTACATTTTTTAAATGGAACACCCTGTATATTTTTAAACATATGGATTTCTAAGAAAATTGTGTATATGGCAATATAAACAGTTTATCATTTTAGTGCGGGGTTGCCAAGTTTTGTAGAAAATTCTTCGAATTTTGGAAAAACATGACCTCGAAGAAGTTGTATTAACTTTCAGCTACTAACACTTGGAACAAAATAATTGGACAGAGTTATAGGAATACGATCATTTTTAGAAAGTTTAAACTTGATTTGATATTTTATTATTCTGTTTTATTCACATATCGGTCCACCTCAACTTTTATTAAGCATATTCTATATCTAAAATTGTTAGTTTTTAAGAAATAGCAACATTTCTGAAAAAACTTAATTTTTATTATTTTATAGAATACTACAAATAAATATTAATGAATGATAAATTATGAACCAATAAGTTGACACAATGTGCCAATTTTTTCCAAAGCCATTTCGTGCGACCAAAAAAATAAAAATTAGTTTTTTCCCAGAAATGTTGTTATATCTTAAAAACTAACAAGTTTAGGTGTAGAACATACTTAATAAAAGTTGAAGTGGACTGATATGTGAATATAATAGAACAATAAAATACATATAAAGTCTTGCTTAAATATAAAACATTCAAGAGATATTTGAAAAATTATTTACTTGATAAGTCTTTTTATTCCCTTTCTGATTATATGTAATCTATGCGACTTTTATGAATGCTATCTTGGATTTTAACATAATTGTAGTGTATGTAGTTATAGTAATTCTATAATGTATGTATGTAATTGGATGTAAACTGTATTGACTTTTAGGGGTGTTGCCTATATTTTTATTTTTATTTTTGTTGTCTCTATAACCTATATCTGTACTGACTATTCCTATACAATTGTAATATTGTCTTAACGGAAATAATATTGTCTTAACGGGTGTTCCATTTGAAAAATTTTAAAAAATCAAGTTTGAACTTTCTTAAAATGATCGTATTATAAAAAATGCCCTGTATAAAATATCGATATTAGCTAATATAGGGGCCTTTGTCTAAGATTTGCCCATAACTCTGTCTAATTATTTTGTTCCAAGTGTTAGTAGCTGAAAGTTAATACAACGAGGGTCATGTTTTTTCCAAAATTCAAAGAATTTGGCAACCCCGCACTAAAATGATAAACTGTTTATATTGCCATATATAGAATTTTCTCGGAAATCCATATGTCTAAAAATATACAGGGTGTTCTATTTTAAAAATCTAATATTTGACGTGTCCCGTTTTTACTCATCGCCCTATGTGTTTCAAATTAATTTTGTTCTTTAGGTTTTTTGATTCTGTACAACTTTTATATAAACTTTTTTTTCTGTATTATGAATTATTTTACTTTCTCACACTAATGTCCCACCCTGTATATTGGGCAATCACGTACCTACACTTTTATATTTTACACTCCTGCAATGTTAAATGTATATGTACTTATACTTCATGTACAAATATTTTTAGAATATAGTTAAGCTACACTTTCTAGTTTTTATTAGAAATAAATGATTATTCATTTATGAGTCATGTAAGTATTTCTGTTCACATATCGAAATATGTCATATAATTGGAAATTTTACAAAGAATTTGTTGTATATAAAGGAGGACTCTGCTAGAAGACATATTGTGTAAGAAGAGAAATGCTAGCACTGACGTTTTGTGACATGTAAATTCGTCCACATTAGCTATGAGCATAAGTGTACTTAATTTTTTTATTTTGCTATACTTTTGAATAAATATGAGATCATTATATAGTATTTTCTTTGCCTCGCCCTTACTAAAAGAAATGTTAAAGAACACTGGCAATAAAATCTTCAGTTCCTTCTAAAACGGGCATAATAAAAAATTAAATATTTCTGCAATAACAAAATTTATGGCAACGTAAAATCTATAACATTCAAATTGCTTCTAAAAAATTAAGAGCATAAAAAAGACTTAATTTTGCAAATTAAACATTACAGTCTTTCCGTAATCAATTGAGCATGTATAAAAACATCTAGCAAGAAAATTTAATGAGTTTCATAGGCGTCCCTAAAAAAGTTTTCTGCTAAAGGTAAAAATTATAATAATTTGCATATAATGTGCAGAAAATTTCTATTATACATATGTTCATTTGACCAACATATTTTAATTATTTATGTTGTCAAACATTTTATTGCATTGATGGTAAATTTCGTTTTGTTCCGTTTCAAAAGGTCTCCAAACTGCCACGCTATAATAATATTTTAGTAAACAAAACATCCTAATTTCTCCCTTTCGCAATTGTAATATCAATGATTAATAGAAGGTGCCTATAATAAATTAAAATTACCTGAATCGCACCAAATTCCTCTTTGCTGCACTGCACTGCTAGGCAATTTGTCAACAGCTGAAATTTATGGTCGGTTGCCCAGTGCGGCTGTGTTTGTGCGTCGTTTGCCCGCGCGCGCATTCTTCAACTGGGCGTATACATTTCTACAACCTCCACGTTTAGTTCGACCAGATCTGCATTTGGGTATGGCTGAATAAAAATGGGAACAAAGTTTTCAAATATTTCAATGACGAGTTGTTACGTCTACTACCGAACCTGGTACATAGTACATACTGCCAACCACTTGGTTCTTCAATTGAGATTGGAAAGACTATACTACAATATTAAAATCTAAACAAACATTTGATAACAGTGACAAGAGCATAAGAGTGGTTTTTGCTTACTACAGACTTGATGTTTTGAGAAACGTACTTTTGTCTTCTTCAGGGCCTCAAAACGTCAAGAAGTCTAAACCAAAATTAAACTGATAATATTACAGAAGACAACTACTCTACGGACTAATCGGCTTCGAACTTATTGGTTTTCATCAGTGTGAGCCAATCCACGAATAATCCTGATGACGAATGATCTTCGCTTTTACTATATTTTGCGGGTTAATAACTCAATGCTGCTCGGGACATTAGTACGCAGGGTAATTGCTTCCTTAGTATATACAAACAAGTTGTATATTACAGAGGCGTAAGATTTTTAACAGTTTTCAAAAGAACAGCGAGAATTAATATTGGGGAGTTTCATCACAACGTGACAACGGCGCTTAAACTAACGCCACACAGCTGATGCATATCACGTATGCATGCGGCACTTGTCCTACGGAAAAAAATGTAAACTATTATTGTGAAACATTTAGTAAATTTCAGGACATTTGTTTTCTAGTTTTTAAATAAATAAAATAAAATGTGTCGATTTTGTAGTACGAAGATAAGTGTTGTGCTTAAATTTTAACTCGAACTTTAGTAATTATGAATCTCTTAAAACAGGAACTTAACTTTTAATCAAATTATGAATTTGAAAAATATGTAATTAAAGTATTCAAAGATTCACGTCATCCACATAATCATACATATTAAAAATAATTTAGGTACCTATCAAAAAGCAAAATTCAGTAATTTTTAAACGCACAAAGACAAAACAAACTACAACATATGCTCAAAATGTCCACCACCATTTTCGCTGCACGTACACCTTCGAATCCAATTTTCGCACACTCGATGGAAAACGCATCAAGAAAAGGAAATAGTGGTACGCAAAGAACAGTCAGACACGGTCCAATTCCAGATACCAACTGAATTGCGTATTGCTGGACCTGGACAGCTTAGTGCCTCGTTTTATCCGCCGCGCCGTTGTCACATTGCTCGTTATGAATTTTATCGAATTTTAAATTTATTACAACGCTAATTATTTTTTAGAATTAAACATAAAGAAGTTCAAAAAAGTGATAAACATTGTATTTTATGGTATTCTATGCACGCCAGTTATGTCAGTGTTCCTTAATTACTCGCACTTTTGTACATCAATTTGGAGATTTTGATAATTTTTTCTTCGGAAATGGTTGAGTTTAGGATCCGTGTCATATAAGGTTTTTTTGTTTATTTCAATATATTCTATCGTCTGTTAAAATTAAGGCAGTCCAACTTCCAACACCCTGCAGTATATGTACGAGAAACAGTAGGTTTTCTTGCTATTTCATAAACTAAAAGTGTTGAAATAGAATCTTTGTATCATTTCCTTTGTACTACTTTTAGTATTGTTCTCATTAGAGTAAAAATAAAAGGACTATCAAACAGCGATTTTATTCAGAGTACCAGAGACATGCACAAAAAAAATAAAAAATTATGCAATAGACGACATATCCGATATCTTGACTTCAAAAATAAAAAAATCACCCCCTCTCAGCGTCAAAGTGAGGACGTGGAGGAGGCGGTTAAGGGTAGTCGTCCTCAATGCGTAAGCCCTCCCGGTTCTGTCCAGGAACATGGGCGGACCCATGCATTCGCAGTCGAACATGAAATACTCGGACTCGTGCAGCTTTCCAAAAGCCACCTGGCGCTTTCGTTTCCCCGCCGTGACGCAGATGATGCCGCACCTCTTGTCGGTCTGATTGAAAAAGTATCTGCAAATTCAATCAGTGATCGTAAACTGGAAACGTCCGGTGGGTATGGAACAACCAGGTAAAATTGGATTAGATTTTACCCCAAATGGAAGTGTGGGTAATTTTATACAGTGTAGGAAAGTACCGATGGTCTATCAGAAGTTACGTGAGAGCGATAAAGTAAGCCATAGAAATCCATGTGATAGACAAGGATGGCTATAATGAAGGCGTCTAATAGTCAACGCCCATTTCGCCGTTCCACAAATAAGAAGTGGATCTTATTTGTGGAAGGGCGANAGAAGTTACGTGAGAGCGATAAAGTAAGCCATAGAAATCCATGTGATAGACAAGGATGGCTATAATGAAGGCGTCTAATAGTCAACGCCCATTTCGCCGTTCCACAAATAAGAAGTGGATCTTATTTGTGGAAGGGCGAAATGGGCGTTGACTATTAGACGCCTTCAGTATAGCCATCCTTGTCTATCACATGGATTTCTATGGCTTACTTTATCGCTCTCACGTAACTTCTGATGGACCATCGGTACTTTCCTACACTGTAGATACTCAAAACGTAGTATGTTTGTAGTAGGATGTAGTATGTCGGTCCAAATTTTTAGAAAAAATGGAATGTGAGAAAAGCATCTCTATGTCTCGGTTCCTTTAACAGACACAGAACGTTTTTTATTTTTGGTCTTCTTTTGTGATGTACATATTGTTTAGAAAATATGGAATTGCAGTTTTATCATAAATAAACTGGCCTTTCATAAAGAAACTTATTACTTATTAAATAAAATGTCCTTTTCCTGGAACATGATGGGATTATATATAGCGTAGAATCACGAATCTGGTGTCAGAATTGCGCTATCACTTCACAGGAATTTCCTTACCTCAAAAAACAGGTCAAAAATAGCAAAAATTCACGGAAAAGTACTAGGAAAAATACAAAAAAAATGTTCATTTATATGGTTAAGACCACGTCGAACGTGAATCTGCGGTTAGAATTGATGTTTTTTTTTCTAACCTCAAAAAAAACTGCTCAATTATGGTCAGATATCAGGAATTTAAAAAAAAATAACAGATTCGCGCGAAATTTGGTATCCGGGGGTTTTCGGGGTCGCTGATCGCGGATACGAGGTCAATTGTGCAAAATTCAAGATGGCGGATCCAAGATGACCGACCAAATTTTCGAAATAACGGATTCGCGTCAAATTTGTTATACGGGGGTTTCCGGGGTCGCTGATCACTAGAGTTCAGGGTTTTCGTCGGCTAGTCATAGGCATGTTCATCGTAAACAAATGTAGGTATAAATAAAAAATAAATTTTCGTACTTTATCAGCGAAAAGTAGTTTTTTACCCCTTGTCTCGTTCGACTTTATTAGAATATTAAAACACGTATACACGAGGCAAACGCGAAGTCAATAACTGCCGTTATTACCGGTTTCGTACGATGCGCTGTAGCGAAAGGCCGACGCGACGGTTATGATCATCCGACCGAGTCCCGAACTCTACTGATCACAAATGCCACGTCAGAATTGCGAAATTCATTTTGTAATATTTTAGTTTTAACCTTCTTTTTTTCGGCTATAGTTCTTTTTTCTGTAAAAGATCTATTCACGGGTTTTCTGCCTAATCTCAGGTAATAAAGTACATAGGTAATTCAATAAATTTGTAAAAACAATTTATAGAAAAAACAATTTCTGTATTTTTCCTAGCACTTTTTCGTGAATTTTTGCTATTTTTGACCCGTTTTTTGAAGCGGCGAGATATTTAATATTCAAACAATTATTTTATACTCTTATTTGTTATAGGTAACTGGAAATTAGTTTACCTAACTGTTTATTGAGGTTAATAGTAGAATAGTAGGTATTAAAATATACGGTTTGATAGCCAAATTTTACAATTAGGGCCGGCCTCAGTTGCTTCATACGACGATCACTGGCATGTATTGGTATTTTGAAAACTACAAGGGATACGAAAATGGTTAAATGGGGAAAGCCTTCGACAGTTCTGTTGCTAACTTAATGGCGCTTGCAGACCGGTGCTAGCTCCCCAGATTTTATTTTGATAAAAAAGTTATTTAAAGGAATTTTTAAAATCTGAAAAAACTTTTTCACAAGTTTTTTCGAGGAATTTTACTGTATATTTAGATTTTAATTGTAACGTTTCGGTTGCAAGAAACCATCATCAACTTTCTTTTTTCTTGTGGGCGTCAAATTAAAACTGAACAAATAGAACATTCTTTTGTTTTTACAACGATATAATATAATCCGGTGTTTATTTTTACTTTGCAGGCATCCTCGAGATCATTCTCGGTCATCTCAAGGTCATTTGAGGAGTTTTTGAGACAAAAATGCTAAGTACCATCCGAAAAATCTGAAAAAATTCATACGTATGTTTTCGAGAACCATGAATCTGAATCTGAGGTCAGTCGACCTTATTTCAAGGTCATTTTAAGGTCAAATGGTCAAAAAACCTTCAAAAAAATCTGAAAAAATTCATGGACATGTTTTTGAGGTCGCTGAATCCGAATCCGGTGTTTATTTTTACTTTGCATGCATCATCTGTCCCGTAACACTTTTACTTTTCGTTGCTATGACGGCATGGAAGCCATAACCCAGGGACTTTGCCGGATAGTGGGACAACTCCGTTGCCCACCGTCACCACATGGAGGTGCCCTAGGTGCAACCACAAGTTTCAGTTAGTCGTGGTCAATTCGACAATTTGAGCCACATAAAATTCTTTGGACAATTCTTATAGTCAGATAGACAACCTGGATATGTGGATTCTACAGTCATTTTCCAAAGAATATGTTCTGGTAATAATCTCAATCTGCGAAATGCACAATTGTGCCACAGAACTAGAATACCTGCCTTGAGATGACCTCGAGGATGCATGCAAAGTAAAAATAAACATCGGATTCGGACCTTAAAATCATATCCAAGAATTTTTTCAGTTTTTTGGAAGGTTTTTTGACCGTTTGACCTTTAAATGACCTTGAACATGACATGATGGAGCCTAACCGACTCGCTCATCGTAATCAGCGACCTCAAAAACCCTAGAATACCATCTTCGATTTCCGTGCACATGCCTAGATAAAATGTAGACCTGTGTTATTAACAGTATGCGGATATCGGAAACAATAATTTCCCATAAACCCCTATTTTTTAACAAATCAGCTACAGATATGTCATAGAACAATACATTAAAGTGCACAAACGGCACATGGCGAGGAAAAATTGTTATTAACAATTTACATCGAAAAAAAACGTTTTTCTTTTGTTTTTCTTCATTATATCAATTGGATCGTACTCTGCGAAGAAAATGCAATAGATCAACTTTGTTTTAAACAAATTTTCTACGAGATAACAGCTCTTCATTATTTTTTCTGTCCCTGGTTATATATTTGCCCATTCCCAAGGTTGACGTTCAGTCGCACCCACGGCAAATCCTACGAGTGTCTCTCTTGCGGGTGTCGGTGTTGTGCGGCTTCCTGCACCCTAGGATACCGCATCCTTAGTTTTCGATGTTGAAATATTCTCTTGAGTTGTTCATTTAAATGATGGATTATTTTGTGTAGGTCCGAATTTCGTCGTATTCGGAAATTCGTCGCGACACTTGAATCAAACTGTCGGGGATGGGAGCTACTGCATCAGGGTGATTTAGGCTGCTTAAAGCGGTTTCTGGGCGCTATAGCGGGAAAAATGGAAATATCGCTGAAAACGTCCAATTTCCGAGCCATGTCTTTCGGAATGTTTTGTGACTGCTTGGAGCGGTTTTGGAAGGGGACAAAGGGATTTTGAAAAGATCGGTGAAATATCCAATTTTCCCGTGGGTTCTTTGGGACGTCGTCTTTGACCCCAGCTTCGATCGATTTGGCTTGGAGCGGTTATTTCCGCCGTTTCGGTCCGAAATGGAAAGTGGGGTGAATTTTGAAAAACACTCAGAAGTTGAAATACGACAACTCTTTTTTCGTAGACTGTGTATTTTTTCAGATATTTAAAAGTTTCTAACACATGTGTAACAGATTTGTGAAGAAACTTTGGGGTTTACGGAAAATGACCACAGTCACGAAGTTTTTGGCCTCTACGGACTGGACTACATTACCTCAATGCTTTATACAGATTAAACTGCGTCACTCTGACCAAGAACATGGTTCCTTCAACGACAGGAGTAAAAGTCACCATGAAGAAGAACGGGAAAATACTGCATTCTTCCTTTAGATCATCAATTGATAATTCGTAATCATCATCGCTGATATCCTGGATGCATTCGGTGAAGTAATTGTCACCGTTCACCAGAATAGAATCAATAACTGCGGAGTTCCACTCGGACAAGTTGTAGATTTCCGTCATCCCGACAGCAACGGCCAGATTGGCTAGAGTCTGCTTACCTCGGGTTTCCTCGGAGAACCTTTCAGGCATAAATTGGCGTTAAGGTACGTTTACATGAGCGTTAGATACGTGTAAACGTGTCTTTAGGACCACAAGCTACACAAAGAATTAAATTTACCTATCTGAAGACTGATGGATGTTTCCAATGAGAGAAAACAGGTCCTTGTTGTACTCTATATCCCAGTTTTGCCACATATTATCCATTTTTCCTCTCTCGCGACCACTCGCTGATTTGTTAAACTTGCGTGACCACGGCACAGGGTCTATCTTCAGCCACTCCACGTCCTCATAGAACGGTTTACCTGCAAGAACAACTTAGTTTCCTCAAGCTACTTCAAATGTCACCATCTACCAAAACGCTCCCTTCTGCTCGCGTACAAAAAGTCGTACTCTTCCAACTTGCTGCTCAGTATCACGTCCTTGGGCGCTTTCTTGACCGAAGTGACTTCAAAATTGTAGAAGCTGAAGTGTTCCCTACCGCCTTTTACTAATCGTTTCAGGCCCATTCTCAGTTTGTTGGAGTCTTTGAATCTCACCCAGCCCGCTTTGTTGGCTTTGCCCTTGCCGGGATAACCGTATGGGTCGAATACGTGGAACACGCCGTCCTGTGATTTGTGAATAACGTAACATGCATTCGGGAGTTGGATTAGGAAATAGGAGAGTTTCCTCTTCAAAATTGTGTCGAGAGCTGAAAAAAAATAATAATTAACCTATATGGATAGACATTTGAACGCAAGTGTGTTAATCTTGTCAATTATTTTCGAAATCGTTTGTCAAAAGGGCTGCTTTAGCAGTAGCACAAACTATGCTAAGAACGGATTCCGGTTCAATAAAGTTCGAGGCAATACCTCCCTAGTTAGAAAGTTCGTTACCCCATTCCCCTGAAGATCAGAATGATCTATCTAAACCAGAGTATCCTGGGACTTTATTCTTGAATCATAGGGAGTAGAAGGAAAGAGAGAAAGGGAGCGTGTTTCTATTAAAACACATTAATCGGTATTCTTGAATGGTGTTCTATTGAGCAATGATAGAAGAATTGTTCCCTACTTCTTCTACTGATATTTTCGGTGGAACAGGCAGGGATTATTAAACCTAACCCTATATTTTTTGACATGTTTCACAAATTACGAATTCCGCAATGTGTTTGTGATATCTCTAGTTACTTTTTTGTGGTGATATCCTTCGAGAACTTTGAGAAAACGTTCGTATAATTTGTGTTTACTTGAAGGATTGTATACGAATAAAATAGAATAAAATAGATCTACCTAAGATACATAGTATTAAAATATTTGGTTATTTCCAGTTAGCCCTCATTTTCTCTATGTAACTGGGTGCTAACTTTCCAGTGTACATTTGTTTTTTTCCCTCAATATATTCTATTAGAAGTTCTGTTTGTTTAGAACTTACTGGATTTATCTTCTGTTTTTTATTAATTTCCATTTTCTTTCCTTTTTAGACTGCACCTGACACTGATAAACAAATAACAATAACTCTAAACAAAGTAGCACTTATTTCATCACTAGTTTTCATTCTACCGTCTATTTACTGCTTTCTGATTGGTCGGTACTTTTGACAACATTGTTCCTCGTTCTTCACTTTCATGGCTCGATTCCTTTGTGTCGAGAATACAGTATGAATTTTCTGATCCTTATTGCATTCAATTACACCAAGAGTTACTAAAAGGAGACTTTCAGCGGAGACTGGAGCTTTATCAGTGGGCATTTGAGATGTTAAATTAAGATGATGATATTTTTCAAAAACAACTGATTATCTCGAAAACGGTAAGTTTTAAACACCATGTACGTTTAATAAACTCAGCCTAATATTAACCAAGGAATTCAAAAACGCAATAATATACAGGGTGTTCCATTTAAAATAACAAAGTTACGTAGCGCCCACGCAAAATGGAATACCCTGTAAAGATAAAAATATTTTCTTTTATTAAAATCTTATAAATTTTACAGTTGCAGAATTACAGAACAATCCCGCTTAGGTGGAACACCCCGTATAATAATACTTAGAGCAGCTACTCTTACAATCTGCACATAATCACATACTGACTGAGTTAAAGATTAGGATAAAGTTGGAAAGGCCTTACCAATTGCAAGCTTTTTCTTATCTCTCCAGTTCTCGATCTTTATTTGCTTTATGACGATATCGAAGATGTGCTTATTGATTAGCATGTTCTTGATCGTTCTCTTCTCTGATATTTCCAAATCCTCTGCGTGAGAATACACGTGTTTCCCGTTATCCAACACCTGATCGACCTTTCTCGTATCCCAGTTCTGAATCGGCGTGGTCAGCAACATCAAGCAGGCGCATACGCAGACGAAATGATCCTGTTTCAACTCGTCCGTGATCGAATTTCTGTCAGTTAGTTGACTCGTGCCTTCTATAATGTAAAGCCCGTCTTTGTTTTGGTAACTGAAGGAGATGCGTAACAATTGATTATGTTTGTAACAAAATTTTGAACAGTTTCCTCTCACCCGACTTTATTTTGGGCATTTCGTTTCCTTATCCTTTTCTTTCCATCTTGTGTAACTATTTCTTCTTCGCTCTCCTCTTCTACTTTGTCTGATCTGTAAACGTGGCAATAAAAAGAGGAACATATAGACTCGAGATGAATTACTTTTTTTTTCTCTGTGGGGATCCCTCACTGCTTTGCGCCTCCGACTCTTCGCTCTTAGCTGTCCCAGGTTCACCTTTTTTCTTTTTCTTGGCGGTTTCCTCTTGAGAGGGATGCAACGTTTTAACTTTCACCGAACTGAGGACGAATCTCGTATAAACGACCTCTTCGTCGGCCTCTCTCTTACTTTTGTTGTACATGATTCTGTTGGCTAGGGAATGGACATCTTTGAATCTGATGAAGCAAGCAGTTCCGTGGTTTGCCGGACCTGCAAGGAATAAAGTTTTAAAATGTTCACGAAGAATAGCTCCACTTGCCATCGCTCAGTCCAACTTCGTTGTTGCTGAAAGCGTCAAACAAATAGTAAAGGTGATTTTTGTACAACAGAGCGCATGCGTATGTGGGGGTGACCATGACTCCCATGTCCGATCTTACGAAAATAATCTTCTCTATGGCTAGCTCCAAGATGTTTTGCCTGATGTAGGTGTCGAAGACGTATTCTACCAGCACGGCAAAGTGAGTGTTCCCTAAAGTTATTTTCGGGATCTCCAATTTGGACACCTAAAAAGTAAAGATAGGAAGAAATATGTTCCCTTGAATCTAAACGCAGTTTACTTGGTCATATCGTAGCTTAGAGGCTCTATAAAGTTCATTGCCACATTTGAGGATGTAGTCCACTATTTCTCCCGTCCACGTGGTAATACCATACTTCTTGGATACCACAGCAGCCATTATGCATATAAAAGGTGCTATGAACTCTATATCTTTCCCGAATTCTGATATGTTCTTAGTCCCGCTGACGATTTGGGTGCCATCGGGTAACTCCTTGAAGTTCGTTTCTTTTTTCAGCTCTTCAGACTGGGTTACTTCCACTTCGGGAGGTACGTACTCAGTCCACCCGTCGCCTTTTGTCGGTTTGGGGTATGCCAGGCGGTTTCTCATCCGCTGTTTGCCCCGGATGTAAGTGGGGTACAAAATTTCCTTGTGTATTGGGAAAAAGGATATATCTGTGTTGACCTAGAAGTATACAATCATGATTTACGAACCAAGCCTCAGCGCTTCCACGAACCTGTTCGGATATCCTGCTCCTATCCTTGGGCAAGGAGAACTCTCCCACTTGCGTAAAGCCAGTTCGTGCCAAGAACCAGTCGTCATCGGCGAAACTAGTATCTTCCACTTCTTTCCCACCCTCGATGTCGCCTCCTGCTCGATAGTCCTGCTCATATTTCACGTAACCGCTGCCCTCTTCGCCACCCAAATCGTATTCTTGGAGTTCGATTTCTTCTTGAGTCAACACGAACGAGTCCAGATCCATGAAGTCGATTTCTTCTGGTAATTTTGGTTGCTCCGGTACAGGCGGCTCTATCTAATTCGTGTATTGGGATGTGGTTAGTTTAATTTAAAGATTCAGACGTGGTTTTTTCCACCAATACTACCCACTATGAATGAAAGGAAGCGGTTTCCATCCTTTTTATTATTCCGAGCATTTTCTTTCATTTCAAGAATCTTTCGACCAAAGAAACAACCTCCCGAAAACTTACTAAACATCCTACAATTAAATACAACACTTTTTGCTAACGTGTCTTTAATAATACGGAAACCCTTCCTTAGATCCGTTTCAAAGCCCCGGTAAAAAAGTTAGAAAACCTGCGTGTCCGACAGACTAGGCGAGTCCAAGTCAGCGATGACATCGATATTGCTCGCCTTCACCTTCTTCAGCACGGACTTGGAAGGGTGCTTGTGCACCATGGGCGGGATCTGCTCCACGCCCAAGCTTTCCACCGTGGAACCAATCTCGAAGATCGATGTTTCAGGCTCTTCCCCGGCCAAAAGCTTCTTCATGGCCAGAGTCGAGTAATCCACAGTCACCGGTTTCTCAGTGGCTGGTTTCCTGCTCTTCTTCATCTTGTAGTTCTTGAAATTCTCCACGGGGAAGTCGTCCATGGTCATGTGCTTGGGGAACTTGGTGGACTGGATGGGGTCTCTTTGGATCTTACACACTTTTAGGGCGTGGAAGTAGAAGACCGCGTCTTTGTTGTCGAAGTTTCTGGTGATGATTTCAACCAGGGAGCTGATCTTGGTGTGCATGGAGGTGCAAGCTGTGCCGTCCCTACAACGGAAGCCTGTCCAAAAAAACAAGGTGTAAAGAGTGATCGAATTTAGGTGAAATTGCAGGTCCAGAATAATTGGATCTCTTTAAAGGTTTCTACGATTTAGTTTATTTACCTTCTCCGTCCCTCGAATACGGATCGAAGCAATAGTACATGTTCCTCTGCTTCCACACCGCCAAATGATACTTCTCAATTTGCAGAATTCCATTAGTGCTCTTCTCGAAGAACGTCTCTAAGCATGTCAGCAGCGTGCAGCAACATTTCTTGTACAACAGATCGGCGTATACGTTAGCGTAGATGTAGATTTCGACGATGTAGGGGCCGATGGTGAAGATGGCAGGAAGACTGTCTATATTTAACTCGTTGAAAGTTTCGCACTCCATGCATTCCGTGTAGAGTTGGTTTCCTATTATCATGATTTTGTCTACGGTGGTGCGGTGCCAAGCGCTTGGGGGCGTTATTCGGGAGTATACCTTGGAAAATTGATAATTTGGGGCCTTAGAAATAATTTTTTTCACGACTATTGATGTGTTGCATATAAACTGTCTCATTTTAAATGGAGATCCTGAATATTATTGCATGTTTTATATACCCTTTCAACGTTAATCAATGATATTGATGACCTTTTCAATGTTAATGGAAGAAAAAATGTCCCACTGTTTTAAAAAAATTAGTAATATCCTTTTCACCGAAAGCGATGGACAGTTGTATTTTTCATCAAATTGAGCAGGAGGTACATACCGATAGAATGTTTTTGAAAGAAGGTTTTTAATTTTAACAAATGCCTATTTATATCAAAATGAGACAGTATCAGTAATATATGTACCCTTACAGAAAAAAAAAATGTTGCCAGGACTTTTATAAGTGGAAATTTTAAAGGGGCTTATAATAAACGTAAAAAAAAGAAATGCGTGAGCAGGGGTGGTGGAGGGTTGATTTCTGGTGAAAGTTGACGTCAAGCAAAAAAGTATCCAAGACAAAAGTTGTAGATCATGTAAATATCTACAACTTTTGTAGAGGTCACTTTTTAAGATAACCTCAAAATTTCCGAGAAAAATGTGAAAAACAGGCTTTCTTGTACAAAATGTCATGGTTCGGACGATTGTTTGAACGTTAACAAAATTTCGGAAAATTTCAGTGATTCCGAAGACATTTCACATGAAATCAAGCAGCTTGAACCCGGAAAAACAATTAACCGAAGAATTAAGTGATATTGAAGAAACTTTGAGGATCAGGAAGAAGCCCGGTCTAATGAAGGACCGGACGATGAGGATCAAGATAAAAAGATGCCAAAAAGAGTATTATTTAATTGTAAAATTTTATAATATTGTGCACAAAAATCGGAATTTTAAATAATTTAATTAAAAAATCGCTTATTATAACTATGAATTCATCAAAACTTTAAAAAAATAAGTACTAATCGATCCTACGCAAAAAAATTATTATTGATTTTATTTATTCACTATTCGACTTAGATGTTTATGGCAATACTGTACTAAAATAAATTTTTGGGTCAATGAGACAATTTTTTTTTATTTTTTCCGTACAAATAAATGGTGTAATCAGTTTTTGAATTTTTTAAATTTAAACAAATTATCAACAATTATTACTGAAAAATTCATTGTTGCGTAATTTCTTTGCATTTTTGAGCATATTTTTAAACTGCGATTACAGACCGGAAAAATGAATATCTCGGAAACTTGGAAAAAATTTGTGGTTATTTAAGACACAGAAAGATACACTTTCACCAAGTTTCGTCAAAATTAAATTATTTTAGGCCAATCATTATAGCTTTTTTTCGGGAAAAAATACTATTAGAAGTTTTTCTGCGGAATATTGTTCAGAAACGTGTTATAAACAAAATATCAAAAAATCAACTCGAGACTAGTTGGGAAACTTTGTTAAAACAATGGTCAAAATTGTGAAAAAGTAGTTTTTCGACTGGCGTAAAAAAACTGTTATTCATAGAGAAAAAAAGGTTTATACAGAAAAGGTAAATATTAAATAAATCTGTAAAATAAGACAAGTCCGATTAAATTCCGATAATTTGTTTATGCGCAAGAGCTCAAAAATGGTCGAAATTGTGCGCTTTTTTCAATTGCTAATAACACAGGCCAACAAGGAAAAAATTCCAGAGATCAGACAATACGTTTCCGAAGGCATTTGGCGCGCTGAATCCGAATCTGGCCTCAGAATTGATCCATCACCCTAGGTTTCCGAGATATTCTAACCTAAAAGTGCAAAAAACACGTATTTTTGCGATTTTCAAGGATATGTAACTTGGCGAAAAATTTTTTTTCTCAAAACTGAAAATATCATTGGAGACTACTATCTTTCCCCTTCAAAACGCATTTTTTTATTTGTAAGAAGCTTTATTTTTCGCGGAGATATCGTCGATTAAAGATGATCAGTATAGCTACCTTATTACCATGGCTCGACTTATAACACAATATCACTAAGCGCTACGAGCCTTATATGTCAGGAAGGTTAACTCCAATAACCCAAATAACCCAATAACCCAATAGGGCTTGGGATTAACCTTCCAGACATATAGGGCTTGAGGTTAACCTTCCTGACGATTTGGGCTCGCAGCGCTTAGTGTTATTGGGTTATAGGGCTTGCAGTTAACCTTCCTGACGATGAGGGCTCGCTCCGTTTAGTGTTGTGGGGTTATAGGGCTTGGGGTTAACGTTCCTAACAATTAGGGCTAGCAGCGCTCAGTGTTATGGGGTTAGCCATGATGTAATAATATAGCCATACT